ATTTAAAATATTTAAAGTTGAGGCGATCGTGAGGAGCATCGAGAAAAATAAGGACAAAAGTCGAATGACCACTTAATTTCTGATACGACCTCGGCCTAAGTTTTAATTATGAGACCATCCCCAAGCGCAAAATATTTTTCATCTAAAAAGGCTAGTTTGCGAGAAGTAAGGATTAATCGAAATATGATATTGGCAAAGATAAGCATAATAGGCAAATGAGCAGGAGTTGTTCAAGAGAAAAATATTTTTTTATATTGTAAAAGGCTTACTCTCATGCATCTTAAGGACGTTGTAGGCCATAGCAACGAGAAGCTTTTCTCCTTCGAGAAGAAAAATATCCCAAAGGCGAAGCACCAAAGTGAGAGGAAGCTGTGGGAAAAGACGGTTGAATTGGGAGTAATTGTTTTAGCAAACAATAAACTGAAAATGGCTATTGAAGAGAGAAAATATGTAAGCTTTTATGAAAAACAACTATTAAGCCCTCAAATTGCTCGTGAGTAAACTAGCGGAAGTAGCTGTTGGCCTAAGCAATTAGGGAGACGTATCCTCTCGAATAAATGAAGAAGAGTTGAGCTCTGAAAAACTCCTAAATGACTCGATGTTATTGAACCCATCATTTTGGGCAAAAAAGGCTCATAAGTTGGCTTCCTCGAAAAGCGAATGGCAACACAAAACGTGAGGTCAGTTTTTATTTTACTCACTTCACATTGTATGATTTGCTACTTTGTGCACCTCCCTAATGGCTGAAAATGAATAAACTATTCGTGATGCTACCGAACAACTGCCTCTAGCAAAATTGCACCATTTGTAACCTGAATCGGAAATGATTATTCGAGTTTTTGCCTATTTTGAATGCATGCAAGGCTCTTGTTATTTCAAAAGTAGCTACAATCAAATTTCCCAAAGTTCCCAAACCGGACAAGAGTTCAATGCATTTAGAGTTGTGGAGCAAGAAACTGGTCAAACAACCTCGGCCATACAAATCGGAAAGTGTCTCCTGCAAAAGCCTCGTAATAAACAATCTGGATAGAGGAACCAAATAGTCTCGACACTGTTGACCCTTTTGCGTACACGGTTCTTATGTTCCAGTTTGCCAATACCTCACCTTTTTTTTATTAAGCTAACAAAATGACATCGGGAAAAACGTAGAATTGTCCAACTTTCTGCCTAGATAGAAGTCTGTATCTAGCCTACTCGTGAGTATTGTGAACTAGTTATCAATTAAATCCAGCGGAAGTAAAATTTCCCCAATGAGCAGAGAGAAAATCATTTTTAACTTTATGATAAATTCAGTCGTCCTATCTATTCTATTCCTTAGCTTCCGGTGAGGCCAATCTACAAATCCTTTCCTCTCGCCTCTTCAAACGAAATGAATGGTACCCCAACATCCATGGCTATCAAACTGTATGCAATGTGCACTTAAGAATGTGTGTATGAGAACCAGATCAAAAAGAACTAAGAAGAAAACCTGTCCAAAACGCAATTGAACAATGGGACTGAAGAGGAACTCTCTTCGCTTTACCAAGTAGTACCAAGTAGTGGCTATATACAAAGGTAAAAGTTAATAAAAGCACAAGAAATCTAGTAAACACTAAGTTTATTCTAACTTTCATATAATTTAAGAGGTTGGCGGGAGGGTGTCCTAAATTGGCCCCACCAGACTTGGAGTTGAAATTGTGAATTTGTTGTGTACTATCATGGGCATCTTCAGAGCTTAAAACCATTTTAAAAATTATTCAAAACACACATTAGGCGACCTTTCTAATCTTCAGCTCGGTCGTAATGTCACCATAGCCTGAAAAACGTTGAGTTTCAGACAATTCTATTTGGTCTCATCGAGTGGTCACAGGTTAAACTACCTCTGATTCTCGTTTACTTGAACATTTTTACGTTCATATTCCCTCTGATTTTGTATGTTTCGACAGGCTTCCATCACACAAATACGATCGAGTGAGCACATCCTGATCTAGAGAGGGGTCGGAAAATTTGTTAAAAGATGGTATGATCAAGGATGGTGTTGGTTTCTATTTATACATATTCTTAACGTCCTGTTTACAAATAAATAAACACAATTTATTTATAGTCAATTGTGACAAGTCTCTGGACATTAACAGTTTTCCCAAAGTAATTCTTACAACTTCGTTTTGCTGGTAAATGAGCGAAATCTTGTTTTTGATGTCAATTTTCACCAACATTCCAATCAGCCAAGCAACACATTAGATCTACATCCAGAGGTTAGCAGAAACATTCGCAGAGTTGACGAAACAGTCAATGAATAATGCTTATTGTGCCCATCTCTACGCGGCAATCCTTCTTCGGTCTCCGGGAAGGCGACCTCACGAATTCCTTCTCAACAACCTTGCCATAGGAATGGAAAGCAATTTTTCGAAACCCAGTTTTCCTTCATACCTCCAAAAATAAGACTGCCATACAAATTTGGCCGAAGTATGGTTTTGATTGCACTTAAGAGATGGCTGCTAAGTTTTGGAAGGAGTGGAATTGAAGACTGTAAAAAAAGAGGAAGCTCATTAGACTGGAGCCTGAAAATCTTAAAGGATCCACAAGTATTGCATACATAAAGCACACGTGAAATCACACAATAAAATAGATATTAACATTACAAGACCAAGCTTTAGATAAGTTAAATAGGACAACATTAAACGTGTAGAAAGAAGCATGAAATGGTCATACACAGTATGTTATGTCTCATATAGACAGAAAAGTAGGCTATGAAAATAGGCACAAATTAATGCAGCAACTGATTTTAGCTTTATGCTCTCATCAAGGCGGAGGAGACAGAAGCTTAGAACGGTTTCGTCGGGGTCGCAGGAGACTTTGCACAAATCACTAATCGTAGCATCTTCAAATCTATTTAAAGGTCACAATGATAGAACTTCTTTAATATTTCAGCTAAAATCATTAAAAATCAGTCCATGATGCTCACAATTATTCTAAATTAAAGTGTATTCACTAATACAGAAATGAGGAGATCTTAATAATAAATTATTATGAATAAATGAAAAATAAATAAGTATATGCTGATTAGCCAAATGTGCTTAGCAAGATGTTATCACGCCCATCTATTCAAAACAGTAGGATTCAATTATGGACCGTTTGCACAGTGAGCCGATGTTTATGCTTGAATAAGAACTGTAATCGCCCTAGGCAACAGAAGAGCATTAAGGTCTGATGGTTGGATTTTCGCACAATGCAACAGTTAGGCCTTAGGATGTCGGTGAATTTCCCTTAGCATCGCCTTGCAGAAGGTATTCCCATCAGGGGCTGGATTGACCATATCCAGATTAAAAATTTTGTTTAAAAAGTAAGCTTCTTAACAATACAAAATTGACGTATAATCCTAATATGATGTGTACTTTTCTTCAAGCTACCCAATAAGGTCTAGTCGAGAGTTACCCGATCGAGAAAACACTGCATAAACCACTTCACTGCATAAGTGCTGGTTAGAACCGACTGTCGTGAAAAATGATGATCCAAGTCGGGCAGGAAACGCTTGAGAATTTTCTCGTGATGTGAAAACAGGCGCAGTAGACCGGGAAAACCATCCGCGAAAATTGCATGATGTTGGTGCCTGGGTCCATGCAGTAGTTGGGCCACGCACCAAAATGCGTCCTCTTCTTCCACGTACATTAGAAAGAGGCCGGCTAGCTGACTCATCCCCTGTAAGTGTGTGTTTTCGTGTAGAAAGATTGGGAAAACAAAATATTGCAGTCGGAAATATTTTATTAAAAAGAAAAATATATATTTTTTATAAATATTTGATGCAAAATAGTTCAAAGAAACCATAAGTATCAATCATGACTAATGGAGGAATAGTTGCTCAACAAATCAGGTCATTAGGTCGAAAAGATCAAAGCGCATGAGTTAAATATACAGAATTACTGATTGTAGCAAACAAAAAGTGCATATAATGCTATATAAATAGTAAAAAATATTCGTAATCAGGCAAAAAAACTTTAAAATGGCTATGCAAGGCATTCAAGTGATATAAAATCATAAAAGCCATTTGCTAGAGCATAGTTACAACAGAGATCGGCTAGCAAAATAAAAAATAAATTCAAATAAAAGTTGAGTTTTGAGGAATCTATTGTTTTATAAATGTTGAGTATTGGAAATATTCAGTGAAGAATTCATATTAATTTGCTAGATTAATAGATCAAAAAAATATTACACTCAGCCTAGATGAACACCCAGAAATTATTTGGGAGGCAAATCTGAGCAAAGACACAACCTTAAGAATTCTTAACCTATCAACGAGCAGCACATACTTCACATTTAATGATGAAGCTTATGGGATCTTGCTTGGCTCCCAGTTTAGCTGATAATTACATGTCAAGAATGTAGGAATACTTCATGAAAGAGGTACGATTGACACCTAAACTGTTAGTGAGATGACTACTTTGCCATATGCCAGCATGGCGAGGATAGTTTAGATAATTTCCAGTTTTTAATTAACCAGATTGATTGTAATGTTAAGTCGAAAATTGAAAATGGAAATAGAAAGCATATGTATGCTGGTTTTATCCTTAACTTCTTCTCCAACCATAGTCATAAAACAAAGGTTGAAGTTTTAAAATCTATGATTATTCGGAGCATAAGACTAGCCGATTGAGATCATTGTGAAAGTGAACTGGATCGGCTTAAAATAATATATTTTGCAAATAACTATCCACTAGGCTTGAGTGAAAATAACATTGGATTAATGAAGGACAGATGAACAAGTAAGAAAGTGGGGAATAAAAAC